CTTAAAATTTCAAAATTAATAAATGAATAAATGAAAGTAGCAGCAAGTAACACTGAATTAAATGTGAAATGTTAAAGTAGAAAGACTGAAACAGTATTTTTTTAGTAAAACGATACAATAATTTTTGAACAAACTCATTTTTAATGTATACTAAAACCAAGTTTGTACTAATTTCACAGACATTAATCCTAATTTAATGCATTTCAAGTCAAAAGTTGATGATTATTTGAGAAAGAGCTGCAGTGTTCCTGCCAATAAGTCTTGCACACTCAAACACTGATGCAGGGCGACCAATCAGATGCTTCCCCTGTTGATAAGGCCCCACCCAAAGCACAGAAAATGGTATAAAAGCCACACACTGCAAGTTACAACATGTTTCAGTTCAACTGAAAGTGATGGATAGACTGGCAAAAATGAAAAAGTCAAGACAAAATTCGAGCAAGGAGCGTTTGATCTACTTCAGGAACCCTGATACGACTACAGAACAGAACGAAATGAAGTGAGACTTGCATTTTATCACTTTGCATTTGGTTTTATGGAGAGCAGTTAATCAGTGGTTGCTAATGTTTGTTGATTATGATTAACAGAGAAACAAACTGGAGATCAAGGATGCTTTTTAAGACTTTTCCTGTGACCTGTCAATCCTACAGGTGAGCATTAAAAATACTTATAATTTGCATGAATCACTAGGCATATATGCATGTAATAAAGTGGGATCATGGATTTATAAAAAAAAAAAAAAAAAAAAGATATGAAATGAAAATCTAAAATGAAAATAAAAATAAACGAATAATTACATATATTAAAATTATTAAATTAAAATGAAATAACATTTCTCTCTTTAAATTCCCACAGGCCAACTACTGAAGAAGTTACTCAGTGGGCTCAGTCTCTGGACAACTTGCTGAGCAGCAAATGTAATTATTATTTCACTGTATGAATTTTATGTTAATCTTTATAATATTTTTTAATGTTTTCAATTTTATAATATTTTATTAAATAATTTTTATATTTTATTTTGATCATTTCTACAAGTATAAAATATTTATTTATTATAATAGTATTCATATAATTACTATTCATAAAGTATTTATAATTATGAAAAAATATATTTTAATATTTATTTTATTTTTTATTATAAATTAGATTATAATTTTTTTTAAAATAATAAATAATTTATCAAAATATAGAATTTCTATTTATAAAGTTTTGAAGTATATATATATATATATATATATATATAGAGAAAGAGAGAGTTAATTTTCATATTTTTCATCACACACACATATATGTGTGTACTAAAATTTGGGAATAAAAAAAGTTGGAAATGCACCACATAGTGTAATGTTAACTGATCTAATTAATATCCTCATATTTCAGGTGGATTAACCGCTTTGCGACTGTTCATGAAGTCTGAACACAGCGAGGAGAATATCGAGTTCTGGATGGCCTGTGAAGAGTTCAAAAAGATCAGGTCCAGATCAAAACTCAAATCCAGGGCAAAAACCATATACGATAAATTCATCAGGCCAGATTCTCCAAAAGAGGTGAGGCTTAGTCGATGACAACAAAGTGGATTCATTTTCATTAAGCTGCACCACACATTCTCATTTCTTTCAATTCGTCCTTCTAGATCAACCTGGACTTCTACACAAGGGAGTCCCTCCAACAAAGCCTTCTGATCCCAACGCAGTCCAGTTTCAAAGCAGCCCAAAACAGAGCTTACTTCCTGATGGAGCACAACTCGTACCCTCGGTTCCTGGACTCTGAACTCTATCACCGGCTCTGCAGATTTGCTGCAGGAGAGCGATAATGTTTTCAGTCGCTGTATTTCAACAAATGGCCGGTCCGTTTTAGAATGCTGTGCATCTAGTGTTTCATGTTCTATGTAGTGATTGTGCTACTATGATTTCAGTGTATTTAAATATTGCATATTTTGCACAGATTTGTAAATAGTTAAGGTGTGATGATGAATGTCTGGTATTGGTATTGAGTGTTCACATATATAGTAGTATCTATGTTTTGGTGTTTACTTGTAGGTCTTTTTTTTATTATTATTTTTGCTTTTCAATGAAAGTAATAAAAAATAATTTTTTAATTGTCATTCCATTACTTTCTGAATTTTTTGGGGGGGGGCACTGCTATTAAAACTAAATGTAAGCAAAAGGTGTATAAATGTTTACCGGCTGACATTGGAGGTTTTTTAAAAAATGTTCTTTTTATTAGTATTGGTTAATATTGAATATTTAATTATTCATGCTCATTTCCCCTATTTTTTACTTTTAGATTTACATTTTTTAACCTTTGCTGTAATCTAACAATTTCTGAAAGTCAATCTCTAAAAACACTAATAATAATCATAATAACAAATACATGTGGATTAAATAATATTCATTTGTCATTCCGTTACACTGTAAATAATAATTGTAAATGTAAAATAATGCTAATGTAAATAAAAGAGATTATTGGAGTATGTTTTACAGGAAACTACTGTTTCATTCTTTCTACTTCAAAATGTAAAGTTTAAATTAATGTGTTGTCGATTCTCTGTAATTATTTGTGAAATTTACAAGCAATTTCTTAGTGAACATTATTTCTACACTATTTTTTTTTTAAGTGTACCTTTCTGGATTTTTTTGGGGGACTAATATAAAAACAAACTATGCAAGCAAAAAGTGATAGGTATATTGTTATTATATACAGCAGATCATATCCCTTCCCAACTTGTTACACATTTGTTGATGACAGCAATCCTACTTCATATTAATTCAAGTTGAAGTGTAAATTCACTAGCATCACAATAACAGAAATTTTATAAACATCCTTGCACTGCTATTGGTTAGGCAAACAATTAGCCCCGCCCCAAACTCACATTAATTGCTCTGTTACCTTTAAATCTATTTTTAGTTTCTAAGATAAGACGACCTACTAAATGCCTTGCATGTAAATGATCAGATCAGTTCAATGTCCCACGACCAGTTTTACAAGTTTGTCTCACGAACCAAAACTAAACTGCAGTTTGCGCAACAAACTCACCCAGTGCACATTTTGATGAATTATTGCAGACTTCAACTCTCCAAACATTTACAGAAACTCTCACATACTCACGTCATTTCACCGGCATATCAAACTTTATCATCTTCCCATTTAAGGCATGACTGAAAGACCCGAGATGTACCTGCAGAACAAAACTCACTTAAAGACAAACACTGAATGCAAATAGCGAGCAGAACATTCTGCACTTAACGTGTTTGTTTTGTTCCAGCTGCAAACAGTACACGTTTTTACAGCTAAATGTTTTTTTTTTTTTTGTGGTGTACATGGGGTTTAATTGACCTCCATGGCACATCTGTGTTCCTTCTGGTCCTGTAGATGATCTCATGGCTGTCTGACACTGAACAGACACCAAACAGTGCGTCTGTTTAACCGATCCAAGTACGTGTTCACAGACTGAACAGCTTTTTACAAACAGAGCAGCTATTTACAACAACGCTGGCTTTCCTCAACTCACTTCCCATGGTTCATCTTCATCTCTGTGGGCCTGAGATGTACTAGGAGTCTGGGACACTTACAGTATGCCACACTTGAAAATATATGAATGTCAAAGCAAGTGGCTTTTATTTTAAAGACATGGCATGTTTTTCAAAGCAAAATATTTGAAAGAAAGCACATGTCCATGATTAATGTGATGAACTTTACCAGTGGTGACTCTGCTAGGAGACCTGGACTTCATAACCCCAGTAAAAATCAGCTTGGGACCAGTTGGTTTAAAGTTCAAATGTATTAGAAACATGAAATTTGCTATGACAAAAAAAAAAAAAAAACATAAATATATAAACAATATATTTACAAGTCAGACTTAAAAAAAAATGTACTCGTGTTTTACACACACACACACACACACACACACGTCTGGTCAGCTATCCTTGTGGGGACTCTCCATAGGCGTAATGATTTTTCTGCTGTACAGACCGTATATTCTATTGCCCTACACCTAAACCTACCCCTCACAGGAAACTTTCTGCATTTTTAGATTTTCAAAAAACTTAATTCTGTATGATTTATAAGCTTTTGTACCCGTTGGGACCACAATTTAGGTCCCCACCGTGACACGAGTCCCCATGAGTCTGTGTGTAGTCAGGTTTAAGTCCCCACCAGGATATATCAGGTTTAAAGGATATATAAACCAGTACACACACACACACACACACACACACACACGTGCAAAAGAAAAAGAAGAAAAAACAAAACAAAACCAAACAAACATAAAAAAAAAAAAGCATGCACAAACTTTTAAGTGACTTGAGAGTCCAAAAATACTTTTTGGGGCCACTAAATACATAAATAATGTATTACTATTATTTAAAAAATACTTAAGTGTTCAAAAAGACTTCTGGGGCAGCTAAAAAGCAGCTATGGAAAATATTTGTTTTGTGAAGCTGCACCAGAATAACCTCTCAAGACTTCTGTAGTTTGAAGGTATTCAACACATGTTGACAACTCAAATGTTTGGAATAGTTATGAACTTCAGAACATGTTCACAACTTGCACACTATTAAAGACATAACACACTTTTTTTTTTTGACAAGAGTAAGATTTTTCACATAACCGGATCGCACTGCACATTTTACAGGCGTGCGCGCGCGCGTCACACTCAGTGTTGCCAATTTGGGGATTTTGTCGCCAAATTTAGCTACTTTCTCATTGTAGCTGCGACTTTTTTTTTTTTTTTTTGCGACAAGGAGCTATTTTAGCTATATTTAAATAAAACTAGCGATTTTTTGGAGATTTTTTATTGTTTACTTGGCCACACGTTGCCGTAGGCCCGTGACCGCTCACGTTTGCTCTCAAATCATGCCAATGAGTCTGCGCAGAACACACCAGTACGCCACGCCTGCCATGACGCACACCACAATTTCATTATAAGCATCAATCAAGATGGCGGAGAAAAAATGAACATCTTGTTTTAACCACGGACACAAAAGTAATACCAAAATTCATGCACATGTCAATGTCATGTCAACCAGATACTGAGAGAGAGTTCTAGAGATTGTCTGAGGGAGGGGTTTGGCAACACCGGTCACACAGCAGGTAATGGCCACATCATCATCACGCAACTGCGCATTTTTACGGTATTATCGATCGCCGCGATCAGCTCTGAGGGCACTAATGTAAGACAGCGCGTTCTCTGACACGGTTATCATGTACTACAGCGGCTTTCTGAAGTTCACTAGTCTGGGGAGTTTGAAAGAATGTAAATAAACAGTCCGGCAAAACTAGAAACGCAAGTCACTGTGTAAACGACTGTCGCGCGCTGCGAGTACAGATGACAAATACAAAGCTATTGCCAAACTCTCGGCTGATTTAAGCGTCTGCTTTAACGCTGCAGACCATTAGAAAGCCCGTTCAGCTTTTTTGAACAACACTTACTGAAGTTTCCATCACTTCATGTGAACGCCTTTTCAGTTTGACCGAAAATGCGCGAGCTTTAGCAGAAGTTATATTTCTAGCGCCTCTAGCGTCATCACAAATAACCAGTGTTGGGGAAAGTTACTTTTAAAAGTAATGCATTACAATATTGCGTTACTCCATAAAAAAAGTAACTAATAACGCTACTTAGTTACTGTTTATGGAAAGTAATGCGTTACGTTACTTTTGCGTTACTTTTAAAATCTGGACAGGGCTTGCTTGTTTTTAAAATAAAAAAAGTTATATTTTTGGCAAATATAAAAGCCTTTTCACACCAAAAGTGAAATGAATAAGCCTCAGGCTGAAGGGAAAGTACATTTATGTCCATACAGTAGAATGCAGAAAAAGAAAGATCAACACACTTCAGCAATAAAAAAAGACACAAATGTTTGTCTAGAGTAATTTTTGCTTATTAGTATGGTTGAA